CATAAATGAACAATGAAACAAAATACTGAAGGCTAGAATTTTCAAATTCCTTACAAAAGCCTACCCAATCTTTCTTGAATTGAATTTTACTTGAATTCATTAGTTGACAGAGAGAGAAGCATTTGTTTTCCATGAAATCTGCCCACATTTGTAGCCCAGACTGCTTTAATCACAATACAGTATTAACTGGAAGGAAATGTAGCACATTTTTCATAAATATATGTTGTATTCAACTACAGCGCTACCATTATGCACTTGACAAGTTCCTTATTTTAGCTACTACAGTAACGAAACCAATAAAACAAAGCCCTTGTTCCTTGAAGTTTATATTAGTTTTCAAATTGCACCACCATTATAAAGAGCGTGAAAAAAGTTACATACATTTTTCCATTTCATAGTTTTAAGAGTTACGACATCAGGAGGAGAAAAGTGAATAAATTATGTGCATGAACATGGTCATTTTTACATCCATACACAATGACCCCATAAAGTGAAATATCACTTACAGCCCTTCCTTTTCCCTTGTAAGGACTTCAACTTGAGCTTGCAGGATGTCAATCACTTGTCGAGATGCGATGTATTCGTCTTCCGTGGCCTTCAGGTCTTCTTGCAACGCCAGTATTTGACTAGAAAACTGAAACAAATGAAGCAGAATAATAAAACACTTAAAACCCTCATTCAAACTCATACGTAAAGTAAAGCTGTCCAATTACATGCCATGCAGGTCGCTTGGTGGGAGAGGCAGTATAGCTCCTGCTCATTCTCGGTCTCGGCAATAGGTGGGGGCAAGTGGTCAGTATCACGCCCTGGCCGCGCCTTACCCCCGGGAAAGGACCCCGGTACCCATCGGACAGGAGGCTGGGTGGGCCCCAGAGTTGGTCTGGATGCAGAGGCTAGAGGAAAAATCCTCAGGCCATCAGGGATCAAACCCCGGTCACCCAGCCCGTAGTCAGTCACCATACTAACTGAGCTATCCTGGCTTACTTACAACATTATAACAAAAAAGCAGGAAACTTTCCCCATGTGTGTAACTGCAAGAAGCATGCTGCAAAATCCTTATGAAAGTATACTGTGTACTCACTTACCACCTACATATCTGAGACGGCAATAAGGCCAGGGTACGGGGCAGGTACTGTGCTAACTGCACGTATTAGGTAGTACGAGAAGGCATTCAGCTCCAATCCCGCCTTGTTTCCTTGGACCTCAATGACACAGTATGAAAGCAATGGTGGTGTGGTAGTGTCTCAAGGCTAGTGTCTGTCACAATATCCAGCATAATACAGAACGTTTCCTCAAATATCTAACTTTAGTTAAAACAAATTTTCCGCCACAATATGGGAGTGTGTCCTGCATGCAGAGAGAGTAATATACTGCATCCACCTGTTTGCATCCATCACAGTCTCTTGCCGACGGATCTGATTTATGGCAGGCATCAACGCTCTGTCTTAGGCTCTGGCGTTTCTCCCTGAAAGAATGCCTGATGCGCTTGCCAAGACTAGATAAAGTGTACGGAGAAAGGCTTGAAGCACCTGCAGATACAACAAAAGTTTCGAATACAAAACTGTGGCGACACATCTTAAACAATTTTCATTTCATATGAATTCTGATGAGTTTGAATATTCATCCAGAAAAAAAATTCAGTCATCATCATAACGTTAATATTAAAAGAGAATAGCCTATGTTCAATGGGCAATCAGTGTACCTGTGAACAGAACATGTCATACTGTTTTCCTTAAAAAAGTCAATGTTTGTGCTGTTTGACTGACCTGAAGTGCAGCTCCGGAAACTGCGTTAAAAGAAAAAAGGGATTCTTTGGTTCATTTAGAGAATCCCGTGTTACAAGAGCCTGACTTCATACATAACTCAAAGCTAACATAGCTTCATCACGTAAAGCACAATCCAACCTGAATCTCAAAAACTAATATTTTGTCTCAGTTGCTTATTTAAATTAATGTAACTCACCTTACGCCACTTAAGCTTACCTACACTCACCACCACATGCCTCACCTTCTTTCAAGCACCTGCATTACCCCTAAGTTAACAGAACCTGTAGTCATGTACAAACCTACCATAAATTACACCAATTTACCTCTTACATACCCCGAATACCTCAACTTATCTCAGGATACTTTAAATTATCTTGAATTATGTTAATCTTAAAACAGTGAACATTAATTTATCTTAATTAAATTAGGTTTAACCCACATAAACCAAATCTACAGCAACCAATCAAAACCTAGACACAAATGCAAACATCAGCAACTACACATACTGAACGACTCAAGATATATTTTAAAAATTCCACTGAGATTCTAAAAATTTTGTCATATATTATGTACAGAAATTCATGTGCAACTAATTTCTGTCAATAGTAGTCAGAAAAATCTTACCATCACCACCTCTTTCGAAAGCCGACTTCTCTACTCCCTGGCTGCAACTGCTGGTTGAAGATCTGTCACGATAATCTCCTCTATTAGGACGATGTCGCAACACAACAGGTGGAGGTGTAGTCAGAATTTCAGGTGCGTTGTCAACCGTCTGAGGCACTTGCGGAATATTGCTTTTAGAGGCGGGCGACAGAAGACCTGTGTGAGGCTGAATGATCTGCAATAACCAATCAAATGTGCCTTAAGAAATCGGTAAGAAAATAAATTACTTTCATGACCCATGTCCACAGTTCCGAACATCTGAGAAATTATATGAAGCAGTAACAACCCTTCAAAAGCTGAATGTTTTAAAATCTTCCAACAGAAAATGAAGCCTCTAAACAAAAACAAAACAAAAAAACTAACTACTTCCCTAGTAACAGTACCCACAGATCCAACGCTGACAACACGAAATGACCCTCAATCTGTGTTCCTCCCTGAAAGTGAGAGACCAAGTTTCACACCCATACAGCACAACTGGAAAAACTACTTCTGTAATTTTAATCTTTAGTTTCTTGATATGAGATGGGACGACAAAGGATTTTGGACTTAATGACAGTAACCATTCCCTGAATTTAATCTGGTCTTGATTTCATCATGAATAACAATTATTTATTTTAATCCGTCTTATCACAATATTTAAAATTTCTTATAATTAAGATAATAAAATATCATTGATGTTCCATATCGATTGATCAATTTACATCTTGGAACATTTTACACAACATGTTTCAGTTTTTATAAAACCATCATCAGGTGCAATTACACTATCTTATTTCATCATGAATACCATTCTGACTGGTTAGTGTCATCCCCAAGTACTTGAATTTTGTCACATTTTTGAACAACTCATTAGCAATCCTTATATTCTGGTCCTGTCATGAATTCTGATGCTGAGGAACGATCACATACTTTGTCTTTTCTGCATTTATTCCTAGACCAACATCCCTACTAGCCCTCAAGAGTGCTTCTGTGTTCACTCTTGTAGTATTTATATTATCACCCAACAGATTAATATCATCAACATAGGCTAAAAGTTGATGTGTCCCATTTAATTCCAAACTGTCCTGATTTCCTAGGACTTTCCTGGTGGTATTTTCTAAGGCAAAACTGAAAATCAGTGGCGATAGAGCATCTCCCTGTTTCAGGCCATTTTGAATAGGAAATGTATCGAACAATTGTTTACCTACACGAACTTTGCTACCGGTTTCACTTCAACACATTTTAATTAGCCTACCTAGCTTCTTAGGTACATCAAATTCAAGCAATATGTTGTAAAGAGCGTCTCTTTTAACTGAGTCATAGGCTTTCTTGAAGTCTAAAATACTTGATGGACTGTCCCATCGTACTCCCACTTTTTCTCTAGTATCTGGCAAATGTAGAAAATTTGATGACTTGTAGATCTGTTATGACAGAACCCACACTCATTTTACCCAGTAATTTAATAATTTATAAAGCTCAGTCAGTATAGTGACTGGCTACGGGCTGGACGGCCGGGGTTTGATCCCCGACGGGGGCAGAGGATTTTTCCTCTAGCCTCTACGTCCAGACCGGCTCTGGGGCCCACCCAGCCTCCTCTACAATGTGTACCGGGGTCCTTTCCCGGGGGTAAAGCCGGCCGGGGCGTGATGCTGACCACTCACCCCCATCTAGTGCCGAGGTCAAGGAAGAGAGGAGCTATACCTCCTCTCACCCCAAACGCCTACTTGGCGTATAGCGGGACAAACATTACTTTACTTTATAACTCAAAACATCTGTGCTTCTTAGGGATGTACTATTTTGAGAATCATTCTCCAAGCAAAAAACATATCTTAGTTTTACCAATGATGGGCTCTAAAGTTTGTCACATTAGTCGTTGGACATTCCTTGGTTTGGAAGTTCACAAGATAGAAATTTCATCTTAAGAACAGTCGCAGCTCATCTGAAAGCAAGTCACCTTCATTGTCTTTCATGGGTCACCTGTTAGTACCACTTCTTGTGTTCATCTCTTAAGTGAAAGTGTGAATAAAACAGCCAAGCAGTCACCAAACCCCACCTTGCATTGCTTAAATTATTTTTTGATTGGGCTCATTATGCATTCTAGCTTTGTGTCGATAACAAAACACTAAAACAAAGCGTGCGTACCTCTGCTTGCAGAATATCCAATGTTGTGAAATTTATAAGAACTGTTTCTGTTCTCAGAATATAACACAAACTTTCTATCATCATGTAAGACTTGAGGTTCTCACAGCAGTGAGTATAAAGATTTCTGTCTTCTGGGTTGTTGCGCTGTGTAGTCTGGTCGATGTTAACCAACGTTTCAGAGGTCATACTGCCTCCGTCATCAGGGCGATGAATATTCATATCATCATGTTCGTAGATTTAATTATTCGTGTTTTTTTCCGTCTAATCACAATTGTATATAAATAAAATTATACATAAGATATTAAAATATCATTTACATATTTGGTATATCTTTTTACTACATGTTTCGGTTACATCGAACCATCTTCAGGTGTAAAGTTAAAAGTTAAAAATTATAATCTTATAAACTAAAACTTAATTACTGTTGTTGTGTAACTTCTGATGATGTTTACATCCAAATTCATTGGAGTGAGGGTATATTTTGAAGTGATAGTGGTTTAACATTGCCCTGCAACGTAAATAATTTAAAAATATTTTTAAATATTACTGAACTTGAAAGGACGAGTATAGAAGACAAAATGTAGTAAAAAGATGTACCAAATATGTAAATGATATTTTAATATCTTATGTATAATTTTATTTATATACAATTGTGATTAGACGGAAAAAACACGAATAATTAAAATTTGTATCCTTTTTTCCGGATCACAAAGATTAACTCGCAAGAGATTGGCACTGGACCATGTCAATTCGAAGATGTTGCACACCGACTAACACGCATCTGAGAAGACAGAAATTACTACGGACTAACAAGGGAACCATCAAGGCTGCACCACAGTGAAAATGATAAACAAGGACAGTTTACAGTGGTTAGACATGACCACACGCACCTACGGCTATCAAAGGCACGAAAACAAGAGACTCGCTCACATGTGTAAATGTGTTTGAAAATGTGATATGATATAGAACAAACAAAAAAATTATGAACAGTAAAAATCAAACCAGATAACCCACAGCCAATCAGGAGGTGGCTGCACCTGGTCTGGATAATAACCAGCGCACCAGCTAACTCAACTGAGAATGTAATTCTTGTTCCCAGTCCATCATGGTGATGTCCAGAGAGTACCTTGAAATTCATTAATTCCAACAAAGCTTGGGATTGAAAACATTTCTACAACTAATAACTACATATTTAGAAATAATGTAAGTTACATATTTCATTTTAGGAATTTAAACCACCCACCAGATTCCCCTTAGGGGCGAAACACGCCCGCAGTTCAGGATCTTGGACGAGATACAAACACCTCCCACCAAAACTCTTCCTTGCCTTTCTTAAACGTTCCAACCAGTAGGTGCGTCTCTGGAGATTTCCAGCATCCAACAGCAGGCTTTCTCCACCGCTTCTGCAATGAACAAAATTAGTTTTAATATGAACCCCTGTCATTATAAGTTTCCATGTGGCAGTTCATAAGGGTTAAACTAGGTCACAAGTTCTTCCTTTATAATCAAAGAATTCATAACTTATGAACTGCCTTAATATTATCATTTTCACATTCCCCTTCCTATTCTCTTTAATTTTACATCAGTCCTTGGTAAAAGATGCTTTTGTGTAAGTTACTACATGCGTCATGTTCTCTTACTGTTATCCCGATATATCTCGAGTTGATGATTTTTGGAAAAAATATTAACCCAAGTTAATCTGGGATATATTTTCTTCCATTACATTATTACTAAATCGAGTTACTTTATGCTAGCTGCAGTGACATTTCTGAGCTGTGATTGTGGTCTCTCACTCTGAGAGAGGAACACAGATTGCAGGTGTTTGAGAATCGGGTGTTGAGGAGGATATTTGGGCCTAAGAGGGAAGACGATGGGGCGTGGAGAAAACTGCATAATGAGGAGCTTAAAAATCTGTACTGCTCCGCCAGTATTGTGAGGGTGATTAAGTCGAGAAGAGTGAGATGGGCGGGGAATGTAGCGCACATGGATGGGACAAGAGGTGTGCACCGGGTATTGATTGGGAAGCCTAAGGGGAAGACATCTCTGAGGAGACCTAGACGTAGATGGGAGGATAATCTCAGGCGGGATCTATGGGAGATAGGAGTTGAAGGAGACTGGATTTCGTTGGCCCAGGACAGGGTCCGGTGGAGGGCTTTGGTTA